CGTACCACTGCTCGCCCTTCTTCGTCGGCATGATACCCGCCAATTACGTGTGGAAACCTAAAACAAATTTAACGTTGGTCAAGACGAGTTAAACGGAACGAAATGCGCTGATTCAAATATACTCGGTAAATTAATTACGCAAACTCGAGTTACTTCGTCCTTTGAAATAACTTTAGGGTGGAATGAGAGATTTTTTGTCATAAAAAAATTACTTTTCTTCATAAGGAAAATTATTATCTCATTTATGATGTAACTGTGTCGTTTGTGTAAAATCTCGATTTTAAATACTCATACTGAAAATTAAATAAAATATAGATTTATTTATTTCGCGATAAAATAAAGTGATTTGAATTTTTAAACATATTTAATGCATATTTACATGTTAAACATGATTTTTATAATATACATATATATTTTTATTTTTTATTCTTTTTATATTCCGAATACAACTCGGGCTCCAAGCCAGAACCTGATGTAAAGCTAAGTTTAAAATATCGATACTAGTCTATATGTTATCGAGACAATTTCGAAGCGTGAAATGTCTCACCCAGGGTGTCCAACAGACTCAATGAAAAAAATTCCCTCACTTTTCCAGATTTTCCAAGCCCAGAAATTAATTTTGTTTCTGACTTTTTAGTATTATTTTTTCCAAATATATAATTTACGCATATATATATCTATATGATAAATCAATTAAATGTTAAATCATGAAATCTTTGAAATATTATTGTTAACAATAAAAAGGTCCGGAAGTTAAAAAAAAAACTAAAATTTTAATCAATTATACAATCTGCATTATGTGATCACCTTTTTCATTTATATTATATCTCATTTTTTAGTTTTGTCTCTATCAAACACATTGAAATAAAATAACACGACAATGAAAATATAAATTAACAAACACGCTGTAGATGAATCGATTTTTAGCACAGAAAATTAGCATGCTTGAAGTCAAATTTATTTAATAAAAAGTTTCAAAATTTATTGAGACAAATGTAGGATAATGTGAAAAATTCCAGATAAATAGTAAAATTTCCTGACTTTTCCCTGACAATTCCAGATTTATAAAATTCCCTGACAATGCCCGGTTTTTCAGATTTCTCTGACCGCTGGACACCCTGTGTTTATCACAATAAAAAAAATATTAAATAAATATTTATTTCGATACTGCCTATAATCAATCATTTATTTGAAACAAATAAATATTTATCTGCGCCGAAAAGGATTTTCTTATATTAGATAAATATTTTTCACATCAAATCAATATTATTAGTTTCAAATAAATGATTTATTAGGCAATAGTTGAAAGAAATATTTATTCAAATTATAATATTTATTATATTAATTATAATATTTATTCCAAATTTTATCAGTCAGTCTTTATGAATTAAAGATTTCTCGTAATATCAAAAAAAGTACTGCCTAATCAATCATTTATTTAAAACAAATAAATATTTATCTGCTCCGAAAAAAATTTTCTTATATTAGGTAAATATTTTTCACATCAAATCAATATTATTAGTTTCAAATAAATGATTTATTATAGGCAGTAGTCGAAATAAATATTTATTCAAATTATAATATTTATTATAGGTATTAATTATAATATTTATTCAAATTTGATCAGTCAGTCTTTATGAATAAAATATGTCTCGTAATATTAAAAAAAATAAAAATAGATTTTATGAAATATGTTTCGCGATTAATTTTCCTTGAGGACGTTTCGGAAGTCACGGAGGGTCAAGAATAAACACGCGATTTTCCGTCTTCATTGGCACGACAATATCGCACGCGTGTTGGCGACACGTGGAATTGTGCAGCATGACATATTCGACCAGGAACAGCTTGCGCTGTCGTTCCATCAGTCTCGAATTAATGCGTATCGCTCGCGCGAGCTACGAAGATTAACGGCGCTCATTTTTTAATTAAAACGCTGGAATGTTGACCCTTTTTCCACGGTTTAATTATCATCGTCGCGCCGACTGGCTACACGAAAAATTGTTCTTTCGCGCGCGCAAAAAAAGAAACAAAGGGAAGAACGATTAGAGACTATCAAACTTTACCGAATATCTCCGCGCTTTCGGATAAGCGCCTGTCGACGCTATCGCTTCGCGTGCAGAAACTAATTTCTATTTAAGTGAAGTTATCTATAACGCGCGTGCGAAATAAAGGATCACATATGTTTTATATATGCTAACGCGAATAATCGATCAATCCTGTGCTTACATTGTTTATACAGAATTTTTGAATCACTGAATCCAGATTCCTTTGCAATATGCTAATTATATACATATATGAATACGATAAAAATTATTTTACATAAAATATTAATATTCAAACATTTCATTGTAATTCTATTGTATTTTTAAATGTCCTTAATTGAATCGAAATGTATTACAGGGTGTCTAGTAAAATTTGAAAACAAAATTTTATTTAATAAAAATTAATATATGTATGTATTACAAATTCAATATTTTTTTATATTATATTATATTTGAACTTTTAAAATCTACACAGAGTAAATGTTTTCTTAGAATTTATCCTGAAAATTATGGAACAATATGATATTGAAAGAATTTTATGAGTTTCTCTCTGATTAATATTTACCGCAATGAAAAATATTATCTACCACAATAAAATATTAATATTTTTTATATTGTAATAAATATAATCAGGTAATAATGAGAGATACTCTTATTCCATTCCACAATTATTATACTATGATTTTCAGGATAAATTCTAAAACATTTCTTTCCGTGTATAAACTTATGCATAACACATTTTTGGATTCCGTAAAGAAAAAATATATTGTATTATTTATGAAAAAAGATTAAATTTTTTTACTCGAATAATCTCAGCTGATTCTATTAGCTGAATATTTATAGAATTAGAAACAACAAAAAAAAATCAAAAAGATCTACTAAAAATTCAAATACATTTCCAGGATTTTTAAAGGAGAAACAAAATTCCAGAATATTTGAAGGACCGCTGTATTATTATTGGAAAAAATAATGGATGATCACATACTTCGTGTCCTTTTGCGAAACTTTTTCATCGTCGATATATATCGAGAAATTGAAAACCATCACAATCACATAAAGGGAAAGAAATCGATCCGTAGTATAATTTGATATACTTACAAAGAAATGTATGTTCGAGTATAAAAGTTTCTTGTAGGAGAATTTTCGTGGGACAGATGGAGAAGAGATTCATCGATGTTGAATACGCGAGAGAAACGAGTGCACTGACCAGTGGCCTCTACCTTGACTGCGAATTTTCGGTCGCCCGAGGGCCCCGGGGCCCCTATTTATTACATAATCATGCCGGCGAGTGAACGAGACGTCCGGTATATAACCCAGAAAACAGGTCGCGCCAAAATTACGGGGTCTTTGCATGACACACGTAAGACCGGAAAAAACGAGAACGCGACGCGACGAAGCAAGAGTGCTCGAGAGTCTTTAAGGGAAAAATAAATTTTAAATTGCATACCCAGAAAAAAATACTATAATAGAATAGTTTCGACATTAGACATCTGATTGTCACGCAGGTGAAAAATTTCTGTTAAAAGCAGATATTACATGTCCCAAACGGTCCACAGAAATTTTTCTGTTAATTTAACATATAATATGGATATGTTAAATGGAGACATAAATAATAATGTGTTATTAATATTTTAACACAAAATAAATGCAAAACTATAAATAATTTAAAATAAATTTTGTGTAAAATTAACAAAAATATGTCAAATTATATATAAATAATTAATATTTTAAATTTTATTTTTAACTTAATAATCTTGTCACTAAAATACAACAGAACATATTTATTGTGTAAAATTAGAAATAGATGCACATTGTGTTATTTTTACATTTTTTCCAGTTGTTTTAATAATTTAATATTTAAGTTCAATTATAACAGATCAGTAATATGTTAAATTAACACATGAATGTGTTAAATATTTAATACAAGAATTTTAACGGGAACCATTTTTAACACAAGAAAACACAAATTGTTCTACTGTGCAATTAGTCCCCTTAATATTATATAATATTTTTGCCTTTTAAGTTTGTTTTAATATAGAGTTTTAACATGAAATATAATATACATATAGTGTATGTAAAATTTTTATCTCTTCTTCTTCAATTTTGTTGAAATACATTTTTATTTGATCGATATATTGATATATATTGATAAATGTGTTTCTAATTGATTTTCACTATCATTAACTTATGTTTATATCAATATTTATACCTATTAATTATAAAATTATTTTATAATAATTATATACGTATATATATATATATATAATATGTAAAGTAAAAATAAAATCAAAAATATTATATTTAAACTAAATATCAATTTGCAAATTCAATATATTAAATATATACGACATATTTCACAAAAATCAAAGTCAATTTTTTATGGAAATTAAATTAGTATGGATTAAAAAATAGATTATAAGCTTTGTCATTGATAAAACAGAACTCTGACAGTTTTCTGTGTAATCAATAACAGATAATAAATAGCATATAATACGAATACAAAATCAATTTATGTCGTAAGATGGCAACACATCGTAATGTGAAAAAGAATTCTATTTGTATTCGATAAACAAAATTCGTCATTGAGTATAGAGTTTAATAATGTGTGAATAAGCATCTAGTGCACGTAGTATTTATCTCTCTCATAAAAGAGCGAAATTTGGACCATTTCTCGATCAAATAATTCTGATTAACTTAACTGAGAATTGATTTTTTAACTCAGTTGATATATTTATATTTATCTAAATTAAATTTTTAATTGCAAAAATAATATTTCAACCAATAAAAAATTAGAGTGCATATTGCAATAAAGTATTATTGATAAGTTAAACATCGATTAGATAATTAAGAGTTCGTTGTAAATATAACCTTCAGAGCATTTCTATATACTCTGAACAACATTCTGATAATATTCAGTTAGAGTTCGTTATCACTTTGGTTGGTGCTGACAAGTAAATATTACAAGGAGTGATTATCGCCAAAATTATTATTGACGCAACATCTGGAAATAAAAATAGATATGTACGAAAATATTTTCTTAATAAAAAAATAACATATGTTTTAAGCAATTCTTCTTACCTTGTCATTACATAAAATTTTAAATAAATTTTATGTATATATGCATAAATTTAGAATCATATATAAAAAATATACAAGATTGAAAATAATTTTTATAATTTATAATTCTATTTTCCAGTAATAAATAAAACGAGATATCATTATTTCTCTTTTTATCATGCAACTGTTATATATTAAGTTTGATATCATTTTTTGTATCAATTTCATAATTATATATTTATTATGTAACATTTTTTAAGGAAAACATTCCTTCTACTTATGTCGAGGGTTTTCATGACCCTGAAGCAGTAAAATTATGGAGTACAAAGAGCTTGGAAAAACAGGTTTATTTGTAAGCAAATTATCTTTTGGCTCTGGACCGCTTGGGTGTCATTATGGGTAAATTATTTATTATTTGCCTGTGTATTATACATGGAGAATTTTCTCTTAGAATTTACCCTGAAAATCATGGTAATTGTGGCGACAATATGATATAAGAATTTTATGAGTTTTTCTGATTAATATTTACTACAATAAAAAATAATTATGTGTACATAGTAAAATTAAGATCATATTGTCCTACAATTACCATTATTTTTAAGGTAAATTATAAAAATAAATTCTATCTATTTAAGTACATGATGATTTGGTATGAGTATTATATTTAATTATATGCTTTCTCAATAATTATATTATTTCTAGCACATATGAGGAAGCCGATGCCATCGAGGCAGTACGTCAAGCAATAAAGCAAGGTGTCAATTATATTGATACAGCACCATGGTATGGTCAAGGTCGATCCGAGACAATCCTCGGCAAGGTATAAAAATTTGTTAGAAATATATATATTTCATATTGTAAAATTTTGTCGAACATTTACGTTTAATGTTTTATATTTTGCAAATTTATTGTAGGCATTAAAAGGGATTCCACGAAAAGCTTATTATATCGCGACCAAAGTTGGCAGATACGAGTTAGATTATGACAATATGTTTGATTTTACTGTTGAGAAGACCAGAAAGAGTTTTAAAAGAGTTTAGAGTTGTTGGGGCTGGATTATGTCGATGTTATTCAGGTGAGAGATATTATTTTGTGATGAAATTGATAACGTTTATCTAAAATCTAATCTTTGTATTTCTTTTTAAATCTTTGTAAATTAATAAACATAAAATATATATCATGCAGGTTCACGATATCGAATTTGCACCCTCGTTAGATATAGTTATCACGCAAACTTTGCCGGAATTATCAAAACAAGTAGCCGAGGGAAAAGCCAGATATATAGGTGTAACCGGATATCCAGTGTCCGTATTGAAAGAATGCATCGAAAAGAGTAATATAAATATATCCTGTGTCTTAAGTTACACCAGACTGACGCTGATCGACGAGAATTTATTGGAATATATACCATTCTTTAAGGTTTGTTGTTTTCTTTATGCATTGTCAACAGTCTTTTAATTGCCTATAATAAATTTGTGAAATAACATATTAAAAATAATTAAAAATACTTTGCAGAAACATAATTTAGGCCTAATCAATGCTGCTGCACTATGTATGGGTCTTTTAACAAATAATGGTCCACCAAGCTGGCATCCAGCCTCTGACGAAACAAAGAAACAATGTATGGATGCTGCACAATATTGCAAGGTCCGTTAATAACAGATATCAAATAATTTGTTGCATAATTATTGCATATTTAATATTTAAGGTATTGCTTATTTAATATGTTATCAATGTATAATGCTGTTAAATTAATAATATATGTACAGGACCATAACGTAGAACTTTCCAAATGGCAATATGGCATTCTTTGCAATATACGAACGTGGACACCAATTTGATTGGAATACAAAATACAAAGCAATTACAGATGAGTTTGGATATATTGCGAAACGGCATTACAGAAAAAGAAAAAACTATATTGCAAGAAATTCAAGAAAAGTAATCCTCGTTAAACTTTTTTTTATTGGAAGACATTCTGTATTTTAGCCTATTATTTTTTAACCAAAGTAAAATTTATTCTAGGTTCCTATCAACAATAAAGAATCAACATTGGGAAGGTAAAGAGATCCAAATGTATCAGAAAGCTATAAAGAACAAAATGTGATAAAAAAAATTTTATTTCTATTTTTGGAATTCAAGTTTTATAAAAAATACATGTACAATGGAATATCTAATACACATATGTGTATGTCATAAAAAATAAAGCTTATTATTTTTTTGGTTAAACTGTAATTGAATAACACTAAATATGTATATCAGTCTATGGTAAGGATCACTATTGCATTTTGCTTAACATATTAGACAGATATCTCGCTTTTTGAATATTTTTAACATGACAACGGTTGATTTTTAACTACTAATATATCATAAGTAACTTAAAAATATTCGATACAAAGTTGACTACTGAGGTAATTAAATGTCTGATCAGTCTGATTAGTCTCATCTATTTTTACAAGAAACTTATTATCCTAATTAACATATTCATATTTGTATAAGATATAATAGAATCAGTCTCATTTATTTTTTTAAAAGATTTAAGTCCTAATTAATATATCATTAATATAAGTTTTGTTCAATTAAAAATTTTTTTTTAATCTGAGATAAGTAATCATCCTCACTAGATTTAATTCGATAAGTAAATTCATACATTAATATAGTTACATACGATCCTAAGATAGGTTTGTGATACATCTGATCCAATTCAAATCCCTTTTAAGGCACAGTTCTTTACCACCCTCTATATATTCGGAAGTCACTGTATTAACACAACTATATCCTGCTCGAATCGCAAATTGTACAGCAGTATTGAGCAAGGACGATGCTATACCTTTCCTTTGATACTCTTTATGGACACATAGTCTCTTTATCCACGCACATTTATCTAATCTATGACTTTTGGACAAGCCAATAGTTCCTACAATCTTGGCATCCACAGAAGTTATCATGTCGCCTCGGTAATCCGGATGTTCCACCATTATAGTATAACGATCTTCTTTAGGCTGTCTTGTTATTAAGCGAGATGGTAAGCGAGTTATTAAGCGAGGCTTTAATGCTTCAACGACCCAGAAGCATGAGAAGGCATTCGACATGTAGAGCCTATATCAATAAAAATATTAAAATTTCTTGGATTATCTATCACGATATATCTTATTAAGATGTGAGATTTATGTACGATACACTACCTTGGAATATCATTCACTTCTTTGTTAATCTCTGCTAGCTTTAAAATAAAGGCTATATATGTGCTAGCAAATATTAATACCACAACTATAGGTATAACCATAAGGCAAATGGTTAGTGGCATTTCAAAGAAAATAAACATTATAGCAGAGAGTAAGATCATCAGTTGGAAGGTGATTTCCTTGAACAACATTCCACGAAACGTGGCATTTAAGGAAGACATCACGCTCTTCTTAATTAATTCCTTACAACTTATCTCATCACCTGGCTGGAAGCGACGTAAGAAAACACGGTGGTCCATTATGAAAAGGCACTTTTGTGTGAAGACTTCCCCTTGAGAATGTACGTCTTTAAATATATTCAGATATGTTTGCTAATTTATTGCTCACAAATAATGCTTTTGTTGTAGCTATTACTTTAAGAAAGACACGTGTATCGACAACACGCATTCTTCAGATAAATCGTTGCACATGCATAGGAGGAAATTCCACAGAAGGCTAATTGCACAATACAAAAGCACACGCAATAGAAACAGAGAATCGAAATATATCCACCAATAGGAATAGAGAAGAGATACTGTTCGTATGTTGCCTACATTTTTGCATTGTGCGACGGACTTAAAAATGTAATCTGAACTACATATTCAGGTTATTGTACCCAAATTAAATTTTCATCATAGGTATACTTTTTTCAAATTACAATTTATAGCGCTGCATAATTCGCATTTCTAAAATGTGCCAATATCGTTGAAGGTTGATAGCAAAATATTCTATTTCGCTTTTACCCAAAAATATTTGTACTTTTATAATACTACTTGCATAAATTTAAAGTAGTTTTTATAAATTTAAAAACTTTATAACTTTACTTTTATAAATAAGTGTATATGTATCAAGTAAAATATATTATATTATTATGTTTCAGTCTTACAATGAGACGTCCTAAATAAGAAACTCATTATACTGTGTAATCACAAAAGAAGCAATATTGTCAAGCCAACTTGGAGATCCTTTGTAAGTCAAAAAGATTATGGGACCTAGTAATATATAATAAAAATATATAAATATATAATATATATATATAAAAAACCACAATCGATAAGTGATAATCGATCATTGTCATCATCTGTCACAAATTTTGTAGGAAATCTAAATGTATGGAGAAAGGGAGTAAGACTTAGTAGTAATACTTTTTGATAATCCTTTTATATATATACTTATGATTATATTTAGTAACTAAAATGATTGATTTTTATATAATTGCATTTTATCAAACTAATATTGTGAAAATGTTATCGCAATTTTAAAACAAGAAAAATCTCAAACTTCAAGCCTACATGTTATAATCATTTCATAATAATAATATAATAGTAATTCTGTGGCATTATTATAAGAAAAGAGATGCAATTTTATACATCTAATAATATCAAAACAAAGCACAATTGGATTACATAAAAAAATTTTTAAACATTCTATATGAGATCTGAATATTATATATATCTATATGGATTATTTTCCTCTTCAATATATGAAAAGATATAGGGTCCAAGAAATTTAAAATAAATCTATTGAGTATGTAACTGTGTGTGATTGTTTATTATTTTCTTTGTGTAGAATAAAGCTAATTTGAATCTAGCTATATATTTACTACATTTAAAATTAATTAATGAAAGGCTCGTATAAATTAAACAAAATTAAACAATCATATATAGTAGGCCAACTAAACGAGCAAATAAATAAGATGTAAAAATTTTTTTATTAATAGTTAAATCATTAATTAACATTCCGTTACAGAATCGATATAAATTGTAAACGTTTCGACTGCACTACAGTCTTTATCAATACATAAAAATTAAATATTAAAATATAAAGTTAGATGTTAAAAATACAAAGTTAGTTAAATATTAAAATATAAATTGAAACGATTCTTCGCTGTTGACCAATAGATATGCAAGGCGATTGGTCTGAGATGCCAAGTTATGCGACATTTGAGCATGCTACGGATATAATACGCGAATTAAATCAATGTCAGAAAAATTAAAAAATCTTTCAACTTACATTATCGTTTTAACAAGTCCTTTTCCCCGATATTTCAAGTGTGTGTTGCGAAGTCTGAATACCAAATGTCAAAATAGAGAGCGTGATGTATTTATTTATTACCAATGTTTTTTCTAAATTATGATTCAGCAAATTTTTTAAGTATGTCAAAATAACTACTGTCTAACAATTCGGTGTCTGTATTTAAATTAATTCCATTTTTCTGTTCTTTAATGTGGATCATTTCAGATATTAGTCTTTTTTGGTAATTCTTTTCATGATCCATAATTTTAATATTGTCCCAGTCAAATGTATGTTGTTCGTTTAGAATGTGTTCCGTGATAACCGAATGTCTAGCAGAGTCTAATTTAATATTATTTTTATGTTCTTTAAGTCTCGTTCCTAACTGTCTTTTTGTCTGTCCGACATATGTGGCGTCACAATCGTTGCAATTCAATTTGTAAATAACGTTAGAATTCGTGGGGCAATTATTTTTGTCCTTTTGAACTCTTATGAAGTCATTTAATTTTTTAATGCAACGATATCCTACCACTACGTCAGGTCTTCTTATTGCTGAAGCAACTTTCTCAGATATTGATTCTATATATGGTATGACAAAATATTTAATGTTAGTATTAGTATTATTAGTATCTGTTATATTGTTATTATTAGGCTTGTTAAATTTCTTAGTTGAGAGATTTTTTAATCTGCGTTTTATTTCTGTGAAAATTAGATCAAGAGGATAACCGTTGGATAGCAAAATGTTAATAGCTTTCTCTATATTTTTTTTGTGAAATTGCGGATGTGATAGTAATAAAGCTCTATCTACCAAGTTATAATTGTTCCTATTTTATGACAAGTCGGATGATTTGAAAAAAATGAAAGTAATCTACCTGAGAATGTCTTTTTGTGATACCAATCTAAATAAATTTTGTTATCTATTACTTTGATCATTATGTCTAAAAAGCTTATACAACGATTATCCTCCTTTTCCAATGTAAATTGTAGTCTATCGTTATAATTGTTGAATTCGTTCAAAACATATGTAATATTGTCAGCGGAAGTGCATAAAATAATGTCGTCTACATAACGGAAATAGAAAGTCATTTCGCAATTTAAATTACTAATTACTGATGTTTCCAAGTCCTGCATGACTATATCGGCAATGATCGGAGAAAGTGGGGAACCCATAGGAGTCCCATAAATTTGTTTGTAAGTTATGTTATTAAAGTGAAAAATGTAGAAGTTAATATAAATTTTATCATACCTATGAATTCATTTTTGGGAATCTTTGTGTGTGACTCTATAAAATGCCATCTATTATTGATACCGTTTAATGCAAGATCTACGGAAACATTAGTAAATAATGAAACAACGTCCAATGAAGCTATTATGTCGGTATCTTGTATTGTTTTCCCTGATAGAATGTTGCATATATCAAAACTGTTATTTACAAAACTGTCCGCTCTAGGAAGGCTATCTTTTAAAATTTTATGAAAGAAAGAAGCAATATTATATAGAGAAGTATTTATTGAGGAAACTATTAATCTAAAAGGAATATTTTCCTTGTGGATCTTGGGGAGCCCATAAGCTTTAGGAAGAAGAGAGTCGCTTGAAAATAAATAATAATATTCTTTTTGTTGATGAAGTCTTTTTTCAACCATTTTTTTAAACAAATATTGAGGTCTTTTTCTATTTTTGTTGATGGATTGTTTTTAACTATGGTATACGTAGAATCGTCTTCTAGGAGACTCTCAACTTTTTTTATATAAATTCTTTTTCTAGTGCGACTGTAAATAAATACATCACGCTCTCTATTTTGACATTTGGTATTCAGACTTCGCAACACACACTTAAATATCGGGGAAAAGGACTTGTTAAAACGATAATGTAAGTTGAAAGATTTTTTAATTTTTTCTGACATTGATTTAATTCGCGTATTATATCCGTAGCATGCTCAAATGTCGCATAACTTGGCATCTCAGACCAATCGCCTTGCATATCTATTGGTCAACAGCGAAGAATCGTTTCAATTTTATATTTTAATATTTAACTAACTTTGTATTTTTAACATCTAACTTTATATTTTAATATTTAATTTTTATGTATTGATAAAGACTGTAGTGCAGTCGAAACGTTTACAATTTATATCGATTCTGTAACGGAATGTTAATTTAATGATTTAACTATTAATAAAAAAAATTTTTTACATCTTATTTATTGCTCGTTTAGTTGGCCTACTATATATGATTGTTTAATTTTGTTTACTACATTTAATATAGCATGATATATTGAAATAATTACCAATGAATATTGAAATAATTACAATATGTGTGTAATTTTAATATATTGACACAGATAACATTATAATTTTATTTGAACATATTAATATATAATTATCAAACTACATATTGTAATTGTAAATGATAGAAGTTTTTAAATTTTTAACAAATATATCTTTTAGTAAATTAATCATAAGTTTAAGTCAGTATTATCCATATGATATTTTTATAAACTTATTACTATTTTTTTGTAAAGTCAAATAATATATACGATATATAATATTATATATATAATATAAGATATAAATACTATAAGTTCAGTAAATTATAATAATTATGAGTTAATTTCTGTGTTTTATTAAAAAGTATATATTGAAACATTATATTGAAAAGTAAATATTTTATCCAATATCTAGATATATATCAATAAACATTCAATATGAAGAATGAGAGCAATATATATTTTTTAATTTCTGAACTTCTTATAAATATTAAAATATTATGAATACTTTATATATATATTTATTTTATTCATATTATATAATTTATATATGTATATTCATATATATATATTATATTTCTTCGTATTGAACAATTTTATTTTTCTTGGTATTTCCTATATTATAAGAATATTTATATAGGCAATATTTATTCTTATTAGTTTTATTAATATTCACTTTAATAATTGGCCATGGTCACGTAGGATTTGCATTTGACGGAATTGTCACACTACCGAGACGATAAAATATAACGGTCACACGAAGCTCACTCGACGAATTTGTCGCACTACCAACGCGACGCGGTGCAACATATCGTCTCGATGGTCGCGCGGAGTTCACTCGACAGATTTGTCGCATTACCGATGCGGCGCGACAAATCGTCTCGATAGTCGCGTGGAGTTCACTTGACAAATAGTGAGAATTTGAATAGAAATTAGCTATAATATTCATTTAAAAATATAAAATTGCTATTATTGCATCAATATATAGTAAACAAAAATATTTTAAATTAAATATAATTATTTTCTGATATCTCAGGTAGAAATATAATTTTTTTTACATTATTACATTATTTGTGCTGCAGATGCGTGATAGGCCAAATCTCAAATTTAAATAATAAATTATTAATTAAGAATAATAAATCCCAACAAATCATTCCGAATAAATAACTAATTCAGCAAGTACATTATCTATAAACTCACCGAGAACCTCCCTGCTGCCGATGCTCAATGCCGCCGTCTCCTCGTCGTTCATTATTCTGAATATTCACTCGCGTAAATATCTACCGATCGAAAAAAAACACGATTAATCAATATCACACGCGTGTACAACGATAATTCGTCACTTTGGTACATTCCCGACGTTTATAACGCCCAATACACACGAATGAATAATACGAAACACGGAGCTCACTCGTCGCGTACGACATGTTGATGAATATGAAAGAAGGGAGTGAAGAAGAAGCGCGGGAACTTTGGCGCCAATGAAAAAGAGGCGTCGCGGTAGTACACGAAGCGCCATCTGTCAGATGCCAAATGTACTCTGAGCTGTGTTCTAAAATTGACTATTTATGTCATGTATACTACAGCATTTCAGTACCGACAGTCAATTTTGGAACACGGCCCAGTAGCAAAAATCATGCAACTTAATAAATAGAATTATTAATTAATATCAATAATAATAATATAATATGTAGTAATAATTAATAATAATAATAAAAACGTAGATATTTGAGAATCGCCAGACAGAATTTAAAAAAAAAGTAAGACTTCTCTCGACCGTACTGGCAAATATTATTTATTAAATCACAACGTTTCGACTTCTTCTTTGAGTCCTTATCAAGTGATTTGTGAAAATAAAAATAAAATTATAATTTTAAGATGTCAAGAACGAACATAGTGTCGGTTTGACAACACGTCAAGACTCTTAGACGAGTTATGAGAGACAGTCTCTTGACGTGTTGTCAAACCGACACTTTGTTCGTTCTTGACATCTTAAAATTATAATTTTTTTTTTCACAAATCACTTGATAAGGACTCAAAGAAGGGTCGAAACGTTGTGACCCCCATAGCAAAAAACCAGTGATATCACAGTGATATCACAGTGATATGCTCTGGATGTCATAGCGATGTGTGAATGTGATGTCACAATGATATCATGTGACATCACACTTTGTGACAAAACAAGTGTAATGTCCCAATGATATCATTGTGACATCACATTGTGACAAAGCGGACATTCACACATCGCTATGACATCCAGAGCATATCACTGTGATATCACTGTGATATCACTGGTTTTTTGCTATGGGGGGATTTCATAAATAATATTTGCCAGTACGGTCGAGAGAAGAGTCTTACTTTTTTTTAAATAATAATAATATTATTTTTATTTATTGATAAATATTAATATTAATAGTTATTATTAATTAATTATTATCTCTCGATATATTACGCGTTTATATTTGCAAACAATATTTATTATTTATTCTCCACAACTCGTCACACAATTTGCTTGATTGTGCTACAAATAATTGTGTTGCCAAAATTTCGGTTCATATCTGTCATTCTGAAGTCTATTTTGCATTTAGCGATAGATGTAAAGTAAGGTAGAGAAAACGTATATGTAATTCGTGTGTACAACAAGTGCACGATGCATTTTTTGCATACACGACTTACTTAATTACATGTATTACGTATATGTTTTTTCTGTCTTACTTTACGTCTACGCGATTACGACAGACGTAAGAACTTACGTTTAGTTTTCTGCCATAGGCTTCAGAATGACAGATAAACTGAAATTTTGGCATTCAATCATTGGTAGCACAATCAAATAAATTTGTGACGAGTTGTTGGGAATAAATAATAAATATCGCTTGTAAGTAAAAACGTAAATCGGGAGATAATAATAATTAATAAATAATACTATTAATTAAGAATAAATATTAATATTAATATTATTATTTATTAATAAATAACAATATTAATATTATTATAATTAATAAATAACAATATTAATATTATTATAATTAATAAATAATATTAATATTATTATAATTAATTAGTAATACATATTATTATTATTATTGATATTAACTAATAATTAACTATAATTAATTAATTTTATCTATTAAGTTGCATGATTTTTGCTACTGGGCCGTGTTCCAAAATTGACTGTCAGAGTATTGAAATGCTATAGTATACATGACATAAATAGTCAATTTTAGAACACAGCTCAGAGTACATTTGGCATCTGACAGATGGCGCTTCGTGTACTATCGCGTCGCCACTTTTTCATTTGGCGCCAAAGTTCCCGCGCTTCTTCTTCACTCCCCTCTTCCTTATTCATCAACAACATGTCGCATGCGACGAGTGAGCTCTGTGTTTAGTGTTATTCATTCACGTATATTGTACGTTATCAGCATCGGGAATGTACCAAAGTGACGAGTTATCGTTGTACACGCGTGTGATATTAATTAATCGTGTTTTTTTCCGATCGGTAGATATTTACGCGAGTGAATATTCAGAATAATGAATGACGAGGAGACGGCGACATTGAGCATCGGCAGCAGTGAGGTTCTCGGTGAGTTTATAGATAATGTACTTGCTGAATTAGTCATTTATTCGCAATGATTTGTTGGGATTTATTATTCTTAATTAATAATTTATTATCTAAATTCGAGATATGGCCTATCACGCATCTGCAGCACAAATAATGTAATAATGTAAAAAAATTATATTTCTACCTAACTGAGATATCAGAAAATAATTATATTTAATTTGTAATATTTTTGTTTACTATATATTAATGCAATAATAGCAATTTTATATTTTTAAGTAAATATTATAGCTAATTTCTATTCAAATTCTCACTATCTGTCAAGTGAACTTCGCGCGACCATCGAGACGATTTGTCGAGCCGCGTCGGTAGTGCGACAAATCTGTCGAGTAAACTCCGCGCGACCGTCGAGACGATTTGGTGCGCCGCGCCGCGTCAGTAATGCGACAAATCCGTCGAGTGAACTCCGTACGACCATCGATACAGATTGTCACGTCGTATGTACATTAATCGGTTTTTTTTTCGATCGGCAGGTATTCACATAAGTGAATTCAGAACGAACGATGAAGAAATTGGCGGCATTGGCAGCAGCAGGGTTTTGGTGAGTTTTTAATTAATGCACTTGTGCATAATTAATTATTTAGATTTTTTGCCATGATTTGTTGCGATTTAATTATTATCAAATTCGAGATTTGGTTATTCATACATTTATGGCACACAAATGAGGTAATAAAAAATAAATTATATAAATTAATACTGCGAACGTCATATACTTATATACATTAGAAAGATAGATTAAAAAATGAAATTTTTTAATTAATGATTGCACATGTGCACGTGTTTGCAAATATTTTATTTATTCAAATAAAAAAATCACATCAGAATTGCATTATAACGTACAGTGTCCGTTTTTCAATTCTACATACAATATTTCATTCATCTCATTCGAATTAATTGCGGTATTTGTTCTGCAATATTCCCATCTGGTTGAGACATGAAAAAATAATTATATATACAGTACAATATATAATTATACATATAACTTGTGGTATTTTTTGTTTACTATATATTAATGAATAATATAACTTAATATTTAAAAATACATTTCATAACAAATTTCTATTAAAATTATTAATGTTGTGTATTTTACCTGTGGCCTTTACGATCTTCTAAGGTAAGTTTATCGAAAAGTATCATATTCATCTCTGGATGTGATGTACTATTTTCCTCTGTATTATTCCCGAAATGTCGATACGAGACAATGCCGGTGATTGATGCAGTATTTTCATGTAAAGTATCGAATTCTGCTGCCGCAATATTATGAAATGTCATTTGTTCGTTTTTTTGTTTCGGCAAGCTTAAATAACATTTAAAAAACACATTATTAATTCGAATAGGCATTCGAGGATTTAGCTCTTTTAAATTATGCAATATCAATTATTTACGTCGCGTGCACTGGAAAAAACTTGTTAACTTGACTAAACCTTTACTTTTGTTAAATGAACATATATTAGTATTCAAGTCGAATATACGTTTTGTTAGATTTAATATATTATTTAATTTAAATATTTTTATATATATTTAATTAACAAAATAATATTTAATTGAAAGGTTTAGTCAAGTTAACAAATTTTTTTAGTGTACAATGTCTGGATCATATTATAAAAATAAATTAAAATTAATATATTCTTCACATTAATATTAGAATTGATGTTTATTAAAATTAATAGTGGACTGTCAATTAGATAAATATGCATAAACCAGTTTTATTTATAGCTAGAATATTGTTTTGACTTACGTGCATTTGATTTTAAAAAGTGTTGTAGAATTACCAAGGAAAATTTTGAAAAATAATATACCAGATTTTTTTGGCATATTTTCAGACAGCATCACTGATGCTCTAAGTGGTTGACCTAAAATTTGAGCTTTTTAACATTATGATTTGCAGAATATAATGCGAAATAATAATAATTATGTCGTAATTTATAATATTAATTTAGAGTAATTAATCGTCTAAGCTTATTTTCAATTTTTTTCTCTGAATAATTTTCTCTAAATTTATGTAATAAATTATTAGTTAAAAATACATAATTAATTAATATTGATTTTTTAACCAATAATCTATTTCAATATATATTTTTATTTTCTCGAGAAGATAATTTATTAATTCTTGTATATATAAAAAAAAAATTTTAATATTAATTATAAAATATTATCTTTGTCAAATTATCGTTTCAATAAAGAAATTCAATTATCGGTATACTCTATTACCGCAAAACGGAGTTTCAGCTCTGGTCGATAGATAATAAATTCCCAAGGGTCCATGATTAGCCGCGTAACCCATTTCTTGATTCCATTCGGTTGATTCCATAGGGAAACATGTTCCCTTTGCATAAGATATTCCTCCTTGTGCACAAGGCCATGCGATAAATTTGCACTTTTCATTTTGCGAACGCATGCTTTCTACAAAGAGCTGCCAAGCTCTTAAATGGCTACATGCTATATCTCGATCCAATAGCTCTTCTGAAATTAACAATTAGGAGAAATAAATAATTTATTTTTATATAAAAGCATACATGCTTTAACAAGAAACGGATATAAGAGAATATGTACACAAAATAAATCTTTATTTATAGCTCAGCCTATTATTAATTAATATAATTTGTTCCATCTACGTTGATATGATTAAAATATTCAAAAATATTGTGTTAATTTTATAAAATATTTAATTATATTTCTAATATATACATTAATAAAATTAACAAATATTTTTGAACATCTCAATAAAATCGACATCGATATAATTATATATTATTTTTGGAAACTGAATTGAATTAACATTATTTTGACTTGGACTTGGAGACAAGTTTTTATCTAATCAAAATATTGTTAATTATATTTTCTTTTTCGAATAAACGTAATTATACAGACACAATTAAATTGAACTAGTTAATATTTATCCGTATTATTCTAAAGTACCGTTGAAATGAGTGACCACCACCGAATTCTTAACATCGGTGCAACCAGGTTGTTCCCTGCCGCCATTGGGGAAGAAATCGATATGTCCGATCGGTTTAAGTAGACCAAAGCCATCCGCGAAATCTGGAGAACCGTCGGTATGAATCACGTCGACGAGATGAGCATCAGTAGCGTCCAATTTTCTCGACTTTTCTCGAAACAGGTGATGCCTGAAGAACGGTGACGCTGGATCGAGACCTGTTATGCGACCCAGAAGCAGATTCTTTCTTTTCAACACTTCCGAGGCGCAGCCGGCCACATGTGCGCCAAGGCTGAAACCGATCACGTGGATGTCGTCGGGATTAATCCCTAAATTAATAGTGTCCAACAGAATCAAAGCCAATTGTCGGCCGACCAGTTCGCTATTTGCCACCGCAGCCCCATAAGTAGTGCCCGCTCCTTTCGTCCAATCCAAGACGACGACGTTTATATCCTCCTGAGAATGTTAATAATTCGGTGGTGAAGGCTTAAGGATTTTGTTCAAATATTCAAGGATATTGTTAATTTTATTCAATATTTTATTATATTTCTAATACACAGGGTGTCCCAGAACTGCGGAAAATTTGGAGACGATTTTTCCTTATTGTTAATGAAAATGTTGAGGGAGACCATCATTTTTAGAGCATGTTTCTAATTTTTGTTGTTATGTATTTTTATAACTAAACCTTATATTAAAATTCTATTAAAGCAAACTCCATCTAAAATTAACAGAAGAATGTAGTTTTGTTAATATTTTATTTCCACAAGGCTTAGTTTCTAAAAAGCTTTTGTTTTCAACTGTTTATAATTCAAAAATTATTGGTGTCTCGATATTTTCGCTGAGGAAAAATTGTCTCCGAATGATACCAGAAATCTGCCATTAAAAACTTTTCCGCCAGTTCTGGGACACTCTATATATTAATAAAATTAACAAATATTTTTGAATATTCCAATAAAATCGACATTGATATATTTATATATTATTTTTGGAAACTGAATTTAATTAACATTATTTTGATTTGCACTCGAGACAAATTTTTATCTAATCAAAATATTGTCAATTATAATTTTGTTTTCAAATAAACGTAACTACACTGAAAAAAAAATTATTTGACTTAACAAAATCTGCAATCGAATACGTGCAAATAAATATCAATGTAATAAGAACTAAATATTTTGTTAAAAACAAAATATTTTAATTAAATATAATATTAATAAATATAATATTAATAAATATATATTAATAAATATAATATTAATAAAATATTATATTAATAAGAAAATATTTTGTTTTTAACAAAATTTAGTTCTTATTACATTGATATTTATTTGCACGTATTTGACCGCATATTTTGTTAAGTCAAATAATTTTTTTTTCTATATATATATAGACGCAAAAAAGATTGATAATTAGTAAGATAAATGAAACATTACTATGTCGAGGAGCAGATTAGCGCCAAGTATAGCGCCGATATCACTCCCACTGCCCTTGTAACCGTGTATCAACACTTTGAGATGCTTGGTAACGTTGAATCGCGAATGTACAATGGATCTCAAGTCGTCACCGTACTGTAAAGGCTCTGGATTTTGTCGGTCTACACGTGTATAGAGAAAGAATCTAGTTTGAATTACACTAGGATGTTGAGGCGGTCGTTTTATCGATAAATGCTGCGGCGGATCCGCGAAGCAACCAACTAAATCTGAAATGTTTTACATATACTACACTGAAAAAAAAATTTATTGAATTCGAATAAGTATATTTATTTCAATACTGCCCAATGAATTATTTATTTGAAGCTAATAATATTGATTTGATACGAAACATATTTATTTGATATAAGAAAATCTTTTTCAAAACAAATAAAATATTTATTTCAAATAAATGATTTATTTGGGAGTATTCAAATAAATATTTATTAATTTAGTCATTTTTTTCAGTGTACAATATTAAGATAAATATTAAATACATATGTTTCTCTAAAATCTAATACGAGTATATTACTCTATCTAATATATTACTCAGAGAAATCACGACTTTACAATAAAATATTTTCTAATTTATTTTATAATATTTGTACACTGAGAAAAATTAATTTGACCTTTCAACTAAATTATTATTTTGTTAATTGAATATATTAGTATTTAAGTCAAATATGCATGTTTTGTAGGTTTAATGTTAAATTTAATTTAAATATTTGTATATGTTCCATTAACAAAATATTACTTAATTGAAAAGTTTAATCAAGTTAACAATTTTTTTCAATGTATATTAAAATAAAAAATAAAAATTATGTTCAAAAAAGATATATATTTATTTGGAAAGAAGGAAAGCTGAGTTTTAGTATAATTATACCAAATTTAAATTCAATTTGTTTATATTAATATTTATAATATTTTATTAATCGTCATGGAAAATTCTAGACAAAAGTAAAATTTATATCATTTTACCGTAGCAAACTTTCGATTTTTCCTCGCGAAAGATTGCAATCCGTCTCAGCATAGAGCGATTTCGTGTCCCGCGAAGTTTGACTGTAAGAATAAAGAAACGTGTTACGTTGACGAGAAGTTTAATAACAAGACTTTAATTACGCACGTTAGGTGACCAACCAAAAATATTATTTGTCTTGTCGCGACCCCACTTGTATTTTCCTTTCACTCAGAACACCGTAAAAATTATTATTCGTACAATGCTATTCACTTCAGTACGATTTGCGCGCCGGTAGACGCAATATCTTGCACTCGTATAATTATGATATCAATTCAGTCTGTCCCAATATTTATTGCATTATATAATTATGTGTTGTGAAAGTGTGTCGCACGCAAATATAATTTTATAATTTGCAGAATACGCCACCTCTCCATGTCTGCAAATTGTAATACTTATTTTGTGCATGTATGTAGTGAATGTGTATTTAGTGGTATTTGTGACATTTATATATATATATATTTTTTTTTGTTCCCTTTTAATATATTTTTAAATATCATGTAATCGAGATAACTGAACATTTTAGTTCTAGTTTGATTTATCCTGTACAATTATTCATACTGTAATAATTATTTCAACAACTGCATAACAATTATGACACTGAATCGACAATATTGCAAATATAAATAAATACAATTATTTAATTAAAGTTATTTAACTAATTAACGTGAAAATTTATAAATAGCCCTTATATCACACACACACACACACACACACACACACACACACACACAGTATATTCAGATATATTTTATTTCAAAAATATATTAATATCCAAATAATACATATATATTGGATCATTTATCAATTATAATAGTATTTGGATATTTATATATTTTTGAAATAAATTATATATCTAAAATATACTGTGTGTGTAATAAAAGTGCTATATTTATAAATTTTCACACTGTAAAAAATTGGTTAACTCGACTAAACCTTTCAACTATATCATCTATTTTGTTAATCGAGCACATATTAGTATTTAAGTCAAATGATTTAATATAAATATTTTTATGTTCAATTAACAAAATTTTAAGGTTTAGTCAAGTTAACAAATTTTTTTTACAGTGCACGTTAATTATACAATATAAATAATGATCTCATTTTCACGCTGAGAATTCGATCATCTATTTATCATATCGATATCATGAATACATTATTTGCACTCACCGGGCTGCAACTTTCCAGCAATTGATGTAGTAACGGCGATTATCAGTAGAGCGAAAAGAACTCGATGAAGAATGTTGACTGGCTGCATCTTGTCACTGGGTCGTCGGAGCCTTGTGTCCTTCGTACAGGTCGTTGCATTCTTTTCCACCCCCACCTTCTCCCAAACTTGATATCCTTCCTCTTGTTCCTCTTCTTCGTTCACCGAAATGCTTCGCGTTTATGTCACGAGAGACGCGCTTTTTGTTTTTCCTTGCCGTCAGACTTATCCAGAGGCGGGCTTTACCCAGCCGAGAAAGCGTTACCTTCTATTAGCGGCCTCCTTTTTGCGCAACCGTCTTTCCGCTTGCCAGAGCCTGACGACTGCTCCAACATTTGCCTAATAATTTGGCTTCAACACCGATAGAAAATCATTGTTCCGAATCGCCGGTTAATTTTATTCCTTTTTATTTTCGCACTCTTTTCACATCAAACTTATTGTATAATTTTCTCCTTTTCCTGTTAAGGAAAATATCTATATTACATGTATATTTGAAGATATATAAAAGAAAATATAAATAAATGCAGGGTTGAGTAATAACTAGTTAGTTAGTTAAAAGTTAATAACTTAATTTAAGATGTATTAATTTTTAACTTCAACTGGTTATGTTTTACCTTAAACTTATTAACTTTTTTCTTAAGTTCAATATTTTTATAAGTTATAAACGTATTATTTTTAAATTAAAGTATTAATTTTTATGTTTATTTGTCTCAACAATTGTAATTACGAAAAACATATTTCTATATAAAAATCAAAATTTTTTTGTTACTTGTTATTATATATTTTAAAAGAATGAACAAACAAAATTCTAATTTTATATAAATAATATTTTTAAAAATCAACTTTTGTGTGAATTAATTTTTTGTTCATAAAACTTTTAACTTAACTAAATTAATTTTATAAGCAACTAACTTTAACTTAACTTAGTTTAAAAAAAAAATCATTAACTTACCCAACTCTGAATGAATGTCACAAATATCTCTACATACACGAAATAATTGCAGTAATTATATAATGAGTATATTTGCAGTAATTATATAATGAGAGAAAGATTGAGAAAAATTTTGAGATGACGAAAAGTAGAACATTTTTTATTCACTTTATAATATATTTTTTTATGAACTTGTCGAAAATGCATCTGAACATTTATCAATCGAGATGCTTGATTGATGATAGTCTCTCGATTAATATTTGTCAACGATTTTAGCCGGTATGCGCCAGTACGCTTTCGCTGCAAAGAACTACGTTCACCTTAACATGATGTAACTGTGTCATACCATCCTCCGGTGCAAACAGCAGAAATTGCGTACGCGGAGCTGAGCACGTGTCAATGCATCGCTTTCACTAAGTGAATTACACTACGTGTCCCTACACGCATAATATCCAAACAAATAGAAAACAAGTTGATTTGGCCATTTACACGCACTGACAAAAAATTTGTTAAATTAACAAATATTTAGTTCAATACTGTCAAATAAATCAATTATTTGAAACGAATAAATATTTGCTTTGAAAAGGATTTTCTTATATCAAATCAATATTATTAGTTTCGAATAAATGATTTATTTGACAGTATTGAAATAAATACTTATAAGAATTAACTAAATTTTTTTTTATGCACAAAGAAAGTTGGTGTAAATTTGTTGAGGCTGCGACTTTCTGTTTTACGTGAATATTTGGTTAATTGACATATATAAGCTTATCATAATTAACATGCAATCTCTATGAATTACGAAATATGTGTTTAGGAGAAACATGATCTCTTAAATAATTTTAGAAAATGTATACATACTTGAGACAACGCGGAAATTGATTTAATTTTGAATATCAATACAACATGTAAAAGTTTTCTTTTTCATTCAGTTTACGTGTAAACCGGTCGAGTGAGTTTCGTAATCGTTCAAGTATTCAATTAAATTATGTAAGTCAAATTAATATCTCTTATCTCTTATTAAGATTTTCGTTCATTTTCGTTTTCTGTCTTTGCATAAGTAATATGTAAAAATAATTCTTACTTTATCCAAAAACAATTAATGGTATAACAAATACAAAACATATTTAAATCGACGATCAAATACTTCAACTTCTTAAATAATGCATCAATATACATATCTATATAATAAGTTATTAATAAATAAGTAAATTAGAAAACTTTATTATTTGTTCAATTATTAAGTTTTGTTTTATTGTTTCAATATTACGAGAAATCTTTAATTTATAAAGACTGACAAATTTTCTCTTTTATCATAATATTAATATTAAAATCAATAATTTTTTGTCATAACTGTGTACATATTATTGCACTGACAAAAAATTGTTGAATTTGAATAAATATTTATTACAATACTGCTTAATAAATCATTTCTTTGAAACTAATAATATTGATTTGATGTGAAAAAGTATTTATTTAATATAAGAAAATCCTTTTTAAAACAAATAAATATTTATTTGTTTCAGATAAATGATTGATTAGGCAGTGTTGAAATAAATATTTATTAGTTTAATAATTTTTTGTCAGTGTAATAACACAATAACAAATTTAAAATTAAATTATGCAATTGTAACTTACGTCTTCCATTAGATTTACACTGAAAAATGAATTTAGTTAATTCTTATAAGTATTTATTTCAACACTGTCAAATAAATCATTTATTTGAAACTAATAATATTTATTTCATATAAGAAAATCCTTTTCAAATCAAATAAATATTTATTTGTTTTAAATAAATAATTCATTTGACAGTATTGAAGTAAATATGTACTGTCAAATAAATCATTTATTTGAAACTAATAATATTGATTTGATATGAAAAATATTGGTTTGATATAAGAAAATCTTTTTCAAAATAAATAAATATTTTTATTTGTTTCAAATAAATGATTCATTTGACAGTATTGAACTAAAATATTTATTAATTTAACAAATTGTTTGCAGTGTATTTTGTACTAACAATATATTGTTATAATATATAAATAATATATATATATATATATATATACATATATCAATATATTGTTATAATATAAAACAATTTATAATATATATATGTACATATATATATATATATATATATATATATATATATTGATTATATATTATAACAATATATTGTTAGTACAAAGTACACTGAAAACAATTTGTTCAATTAATACATATTTTAGTTTAATACTGTCAAATGAATCATTTATTTGAAACAAATAAATATTTATTTGTTTTGAAAAGGATTTTCTTATATCAAATCAATATTATTAGTTTCAAATAAATGATTTATTTGATAGTATATATTATATACTAACAATATATTCTTACAAGAACCGATTATGAAGGAAACACAGGCATACACCCCAGATGATTACTTATAACATATTTATTTGTAATGTTTTATTAATATACTCCTTACCGTAGACATATATTTATATCGTATGGCAGCATATTATTATGATATTGTATAATATAGGTGTGAGGTGACTGACAGAACGATTCATTATTTCTCTTATTACTCTCCGCGGCCGAAGAACGACACATGCTTATTCATCGCTCATTCATACTCGTTATTCCACAACATTCACTCTTATAATCATTTCATTCATCCTTCCTGTCATCGGTCTCCCTTTCGTTCCTCCCTCTCTCGCGAATCGACGAAATCGCTGAAAATTCGAGGCTTCTCATTCCTTCCCATCCCATTGCGATCTCTCTCTCTCTCTTTCTCTCTCGTCTCACACTTCGTCGATTCGTCGATTAATTCGCATTCGACTAATTAAATGCGTCGCGCGCGTCACACGCGCACCGACCGCACGTGCGAACCTTCGATAATGATCGATTATCGTCCTGCGCGATAATCGTTACGATAATAATAATAATTATGATATATAGTCTCGTTATATTAACTCTCTCTCGCTCTCGTAACATTATCTCATACTTATCTCGCCTAGTTAAAATATCAATATACATTATAATATACTCTAGTAACGATAATGCAACGTCGTTAATTTATTATACTTTGCAACTTAGAAAAATAGTCCTGGCTAGAGTAGCCGCGGCCGCGTCGCGTGATCGATCAAAAGCGGTCGACATTACTACGTGCGTGTGTACATTCGACATATACTCTACATATATATGTATATTTATCTATATATATCTTTTTTTTTTCATCTTTTCTCTAATCCGGGGCTTTTCGCGGTCCGTCCGGATCCACCTATGAGAAATATTCCAGAGGATTATCTAATTGACTAAATCGGTCGATCGAAGTCGCAAGATTTTCTACATCGATCGCTCGTTTCCGAGATACGGAGGGTTATCTATGAATTCTATCGATTCCTTCTTCTATTTCGCATAGGTGATCGACGATTTTTTTCATTTTCGAACAAACGCGCAGCTCGAGCACACAGTGAAAAATCAATATATATATTTCTTTATTTTGCATGCCGCATTTTATGTCTTTAATTTCGTTCAGAACCAATGGTGGATTTGGAATATATATTTATTATTTATGATTAAATAAAACATAAAACTATATAATTATTATTTATTTTATAATAAATTGTGAATCTAGGAAAATCACAGATAATTTAATAAAGAAAGTTCAGTTTCCAAAATGGATTTTATCGCGTTTATCAACGTTAAAATTATTCTGCCGATTACCTATCAATAGAAATGTGAATCTCAAATCTAGCTGAATTATTGACGTTACAGCGCGCGTTGTTTCATTGAGAATAGCGATAAATGAATAATTCCCGCGATTATCTTTTTGTGCTTGCTTCCCGATCGCGGATGACTCGACGCGGTCGCGATGCAATAAAATCTATAGAAACAATTAACGGAACAACGGTATAGTATTACCCCTTTGAAATTGTTTCACGCTCTACTATATCTACTGTTGATTCTTTTGTTTATAATCGGTTATAACGAATCGCTTGCTTGCGTATCGTTGACTCGCGCGTCGAATTGACTGGCGCGAACCTAATATACCGATTTTTGTTAAAGCGTCGCTTAATTAATCAGCGACGAATTAAGCGAAACCGGAGTCCTATATACGTATATCATCTCTCACATCGATATACTCGACAAAGCTCATTCGAAGTTATATAACAATCGAGAAAAAACTCGTTCAGGCATTCGAGAAAAATGCGACGGTCTAATTTTCCCGATTGCGAATAAATCATTCATTTCTCGAATTGCA